AGAAGGGATTTCATGAATAGCACGGGATTAGAATATGAGTCCTAGTGACAATGTATTACGTAAGAGCTTTCAAGTTATCAGTGGTAGATTATAGATCAACATTAAGGTGAATCAACAATAGATGGATAAAAGTTCAAAGGTATGAGATGAAATTAGGCTGTCATTCTTAAGATGAACAGTAATGAGAAAGCATTAAAGGACTTAGATTTATACACATAGGATAAAGATAAGCTGCGAAAGAGTAACTTGAAATTGGGTAGAAGACCTCGATTATAATAAATTGAAGTAAGTGTTATGGTATAATATGACCTACCTAAGTGCAGTAAAGATAACCGAGGCATGAAACAAAATATGGCAATAGTCGTAAGTTCGACAAAGTACCAAGCGAAGAACTTCAGTACACCTATATATGCCTAGAGTTCTGTATATGTTCACAAAGTGAGAGGAAAAAGGAGAAAAGAGTCGCATAGCGTACAAGGACATAATCGTACAGGCTGCACGACAGAAGGTAGAAAACAATTACGATATTGGAAGAATTCCGACCACAGGTCGTGGTGTGAGAAAGAGGCATAAAAAGGGGGGAATGACCTGGCCTTTAGATTTATTTGCAGAACAGTTGCCTAGATGGAAAGGACAATATAAAAGTTATTCGTAATAATTGTAGGTTATGACACTAATAAGAACATCAGTTAACATTCGAGGACGAGTGTTCCAAAGAGGGGAATGATGTTACACCCCATGTTTTCATACGTAAAAGTACGCCGTAAGTCAATTGACGTATGCTTGGAAATTAGATCAACTTTGAAAGTACATAAAGTAATTTAATTATGTTAACTTGGAGTTTACAAATATTTATGATCATAAACTGCAAGTACCAAGAGGGTTGGAAGGTCTAGAAGCTAAACAAATCGAAGAAAATAAGTTTCATCGAAACGTCAAGTTGAGAATGTTATAACCCATACTTTTGGGGTGATACTAGGGTTGTTAACATGATAAGGATGTTATATTATGAGGTATTATAGTCGTGTGTTAAGTTTTGAAGTCAAACAGGTTAGGAAACAAAAGTCCACAAAAGTTGTCGCAAGTTACGTTCATAATTTTACTTAAAATTTAAGTCTAATGTTACTGAGCATTTCTCTCATTTTAGTTGGAATTACTGGGTGATCCACCTATCATATTTAATATCTACGAGTCTAGTTTCTAACACATTAAATTGTTCGTCGATATAACGTCATAGCGGAGATATATTCGCATGTTCGCAAGACTGCGCAAGCAGTTCCCTTCAGGACCCACAAGGTCGGTTGAGGATTATCTTGATATATAAAGTTGTAGCCTTCGTCTCTAAGGCTCATTTCAACCTAAATCAGACCCGAAAAGTCTCTATAGACATCCTAAATACATCCTTAGGATTTTGAAGCAATTCCATCATCCGAAACTCTAAGTCAAAATGCGAACACATCAACGCGATCCTTACGACATAGGTAAGATTTTGCCATCTTCCTTTCTCCTTATAACTCAAGTTTTAGGAAAGAGCTTCGTGGCTAAGGAAGCTTGTCACCTCTGTATTTTAGGTATACAAGCATAAGTAAGGGTGTGGATCAAAGGGAACAAGGTTTGGAAGCAAGAACACAAGAGGTATGTAGGATTTTTGTTTCGTTTTCGGTATAATTTGGTTTAGCTATGTTCTAGCATTTATCTTGATCGCTTAAGAGTTATTAAAGGGAAATATCAGCATGTATTTTATCCTTCTATATTATTCAATCCATATGTGAATTATGGAAGGAAATAGTTTAGGTTGGAACTTCAAAACACAACTAAAAACAAAAGGGCAAATCGCCCATTTGGCCTATGCCATCCGGATTTTTGTCTGTTCCGTTCCTTTGATGTTTTTATGCATACCTAACCCTCATATGATCCTAATATATTCATTTAAAATTACAGAAGCTTAGTTATCATGTATTGATGCTTAGATTATTCCTAAATCATATTTAGACTTTCATATCACAAGTTAGCCACTATGAGCCGACATTACGTTCATAATTCTGTTTTGTTAATCATTTGAAACTATTATAGATAACTGGATCTCCTTTAGTTTGATGTTATTATGTTGGCTGGGTATCCATCCCCGTATATATTATGGAGCTTGCTGTGTTTTTGGGGATCATCCAGATTTAGGGGAAACTCTGCTGGAATTTTTAAAAATTCGAAGAGTTGGACAAATCTTGAGTTCCTTGGTTCTAAATTGATTCTAAAGGGATCCTGATGAGTTAATTAGACTTAGTATCTCATGTACATACTCAGTTCCTCCCTAAAATGGGGATGGTCTCCTCTGTCCAACTTATGGGCGACGAGCGTCAGATCATGTTTGTGATTCTGTTTATGGTTTCCTTCATGATCTCTTGAGTCCATATGATGTTGCCACATGTGTTATGCATCATACATACTTACATTGATTATGTTGGGGGGATATAGCCCATAACACTAGCAAGGCCTATTGATTATATGTTGGGGGAGAGGGGGGGGGGGGGGGAGGGGGGAGAGAGCCCATAACGTTAGCAAGGCCTATTGATTATATGTTGGGGGGATATAGCCCATAACGCGAGCGAGACCTATTAATTATATGCTGGGAGAGATAGCCCATAGCGCCAGCGAGGCCTATTGATTATATGCTGGGGGAAATAGCCCATAAGACCAGCCGGGCATGTTGATTACATTTTTACCTACAGGGAGAATATAGCCCTTAAATCTAGTCAGACATGTTATATACGCGTATATAGCTACAGCTTGCATTACATGACTATACATGAGGCTAGTTCAGTTTTATAGTTACCTGACTGGGGGGATATAGCCCATAACACCAGACAGGTACCAGTTCAGATAGTTGTTCAGTTTCAACACAATTTCAGCTGAAACTTCGGCTCAGTTCCAAATCAGTTGCTAGTTTAGACTCTTGTTTAGCTTTCATCTTATAATCAGATTTCCAGCTCACAGTCATACTTTAGTATGCTTTACCTATGATTTCCACCTTACATACTTTGTACATATCATACTCACAACCCTTCCAGGGCGTTGCGTTTCATGTCGCTCGGGTACTGATAGATCAGCTCTTGAGCCACATCAGTAGGCTATCCACCAGCTATTGGTGTCACTCCACTTACTCCCGGAGTTACTTATCTTATGGTATGTGTACAATCAGCTAGTTTGGGTATGGCGAGGCCTGTTCCGTCCAATACTTTTTCAGTTCAGCACTCCTAGAGGCCTGTAGATATGCACCAGTGCAGTTAGTATATTTTTATATGTCAGCTTGTGTTAGCCTTGTCGGCTTCCAGATTGTACAGTTCTTATCAGCTATGCTTATGCTTGTTCAGTTTATTAGTTATATTCATGATTAGTAGATTATCAGTAGGTTTAGTGATGATCGGCCTTTAGTGTTGGTTATCCTTCGCGGCACTAGGCTGGGTCGTGACATTACCCATCTATGAAAATTTATTTATTTTAAAATCAAAAACTACATAACAATCTAATCACATGTATGCAACCAAACATGACATATGAAATTACACTCTAGTTATGTTACACACTAGAGCCTAATTACCTTATGTAACTTTAGTTTGCCTAGTTACTATTAGGGGTGGCAAATGGGCGGGTTGGGCTGAATTTGGGCGGGTCAAGATAGGTTAGGTCAATAAATGGGTCATTGCCCAACCCAACCCAAAGTGTACTTGGGCTAAGATGGGCTGGGTCAAGATGGGCTAAACAATTGGTCATAACCCAACCCGCCCAACTTGACCCATGTTTTAGCACCATGCTCATCTTGCATAAAAAAGCCTTTTACCTTAAAATGTGTAAGTTGAAAAAAAATTGCGGGTGGGGTGGGGTGGGGGCTTGGGGCGGGTAGGAGGTACAGAAAAACGAAAAAAACATAAAACAGAAAATTGAAAATAAAAAAAAAAGTAAAAAA